GGGGTCGGGCCGCGGCAGGCAGCTGCCCCGAGGACGGCTCCGGGCTCCTCCTGCCCCGCTGTGCGGCCGTGGCATTCGGGGAGCGCAGAGCAGAAGTAGCTGTGGCATTGACTCTTGGTAATGCCGGTCAAGCCAGGGCTTGACGTTTTCTCAGGTCAGGCCATAGGACACGGTGTCTTCTGGCGGTGCTTGGAAACGTCCCTTCCAGTCCCCGGCCTCAGCTGTGTTATTTCTGCTGCTCCTGATGTCCTCTGCTGCCTGCACTGTGCTGGCTGCCTCCTTTTCCCTTGGGAGAACCAGTGTGGACTCCCCTTGACTTTTGCCGCCGTTGTTTTTCCAAAAAAAAGCCCAAACCCACAAAACAATTAAGAGCCACCTTTAGGCTCTGCTCCTAAGAGTTTAATTGGACAACGTGCTAATAAGCAGTGTTCACACGGGACTGAGTGTGCTGCGCCTCTGTTCTTTCCTGGCCGTTACTGTCATGGTCACCATTGCATTGGACACCTTTGGCTGCAGCTTGCTGGGGTGGAAGAGGTGCTGGAGGATGAGGGGTATCAAAAACCCCATTTGTGCACAGAGGAGTTTTCAGGGCCTCTTGGAGTGATTGAGTTACCCAGTTGATAGAAATAACAGTATTCCAGACCAAGAAAAAAGGCCTGTTTGGAGGCAGAACAAACACAAACCAGTGTTCAGTAAAGGCCAGGAGCTCCTTTAGCAGGACTCGGGAGCCTGATCTGTGTTAAAAACTGGGCACATCTAAGGAAGTTTGTCACCCTGGCCCTTCGTGGTTCTGTAATTCCCTTCCTCCCCTGCATTGTAGGCAGTCAGAAATGTTAAAGACAAAATCTGCATTTCAGCATAGCAATACCATTAACGTGCCTGCGAAGCCTTTGGCATTTAGAAAGGTGCAAGGGTATCTCAGCGTTATCCTTTGGCAAGGAGGGCGTCAGTGGCTGGAGAAGCGAGTTGAGGTTCATCAGGTGGCTGCTCAGCCAAACGGTGTCCGTGCTGTCCAGAGCGCAAGTTTTCAGGCTTCAACAAATGGCCATGCCTTTCCCCAAGCTGACAGGGCGTGCTTGGAGCTGCTGGCACGCAGCGCGATGGGAAGCGGCGGTGCTGGCGCTGTGCTGCGTTGTGCAATCTGACATGTGCTGCAAACAATAATTAAGTGATGTTCTCTGTTGTGGCTTTCAGGATTTTGGCACACAAAGCGTGTGTGGGACACACATTTTTTTCTCTGCTAAGACTACTCTGGCAGTTCTGAATCTGAACGAGCTGACGTAGCAGTGAGACTGAGGTTCTGGGGGGATACCTTAGTGTTAGCAGCTCCCCGTCACCCCGGCCCCACGCCTGTCCGTGTTTGAGAGGCATTTGGACAATAATCATCTCTAGAACCAGGTTTCCATCACAAATGTGGTTGTGGTTTGTCTTGTGTCGCACCTCGAGTGCTGTGTTCAGTTCTGGGCCCCTCACTATAAGAAGGATGTTGAGATTCTGGAGCATGTTCAGAGAAGAGCCACAAGGATGGGGAGGGCTCTGGAGAACAAGCCTGATGAGGAGCGGCTGAGGGAACTGAGGTTGTTTAGCCTGGAGAAGAGAAGGCTGAGGGGAGACCTCATCACCACCTCCAACTGCCTCAAGGGAGGTTGTAGAGAGGTGGGTGCTGGGCTCTTCTCCCAGGTGATGGGGGACAGAACAAGGGGAAACGGCACCAAGCTGTGCCAAGGGAGGTTCAGGTTAGAGCTAAGGAGGAAGTTCTTTCCTGAGAGGGTCGTCAGAAGCTGGCACAGGCTGCCCAGGGAGGTGGTGGAGTCACCATCCCTGGATGTATTTAAAGAGCGGGTAGACGAGGTACTTAAGGATATGGTTTAGGGGGTAGACAGGAACGGTTGGACATGACGATCTCAGAGGGCTTTTCCAACCGAGCCATTCTGTGATTCCGTGTCACGCGATGGAGATGGTCCATGCTCATGTTCCTCTCTCCCCAGTTTGGTGATGGTGTGTGTGTTGGTCCTTCCCAGTGAGCTCCCCTGGGCTGGGCAGCTGCTTGGAGAAGCTGCGCTGAGAAATGGGGGTCACTTCAGTACAACAGCTAAAATAAAGAGATATTAGATAACTTTAAAACTTCTAAGTTGCATAAAGTGTCCGTGTTGGGGTTGTTGGGTTTTTTTTAATTCTAGAGGCCAGAATAACTTTTCTCTTTGTTCTCTAGGGATTTAAGTCATAACCATTTGTTGTCATCCAACTGGAGCATTGATTTGTCTGTTCACACACTCCAAGAAGTGTAAGTTGGTTTTTATGAGGATAAACTCTACAGATTTCCTACCTAATTCTAATTAATACATCTAATTGCGTGTCTGGATAGCTGGTCTGATTTGTAGAAGTGTTCAGTAGCAGTTAATGAAAACTGGATGCTCTGTGTTGGCAGCATCTTATGTACAAACCTGATGCTTTGTGAGCAGAAAACTTCTTTGTAAAAGGTTAGAAGACCAATATTTTTAGAAATAAATGAGGTGTTTGATTTGACTATAGCTGATTCTGAGTTAAAGATAAATAACAGTATCCATGAGAATAGTGAAAACTGCTCTGCTTCACTGTTGTTCAGATTATCAGGATCTAAGCTTTTGCAGAACCTCTTGTGTCAGCTACTGAGTATTATTCACATAACGAAATAGTCAAATGTGTTCTGGGGTATGAGTTATTCTCATGGGTTTTCTTCTCTCTGAAGTGACAGTAATCCCTTTTGTTTGGTTGGGTTTTTTTTAAGGAAAATGAATTACAATGAGCTAAGTGAAATTCCGTATTTTGGAGAAACAACTTCCAATATAACTCTTCTCTCGCTGTAAGTAATCGCTTGTCTGCCTTTTTCTCATTTAACAAATGGGAGGATTGTATTAGAGTTCTGCTGTCAAGCTGTAGGAAAACAGCTTCTTTTGTCTTGAAATAGGACTCATCTGAAGTGCTTCAGGGAATATGTAAGCACTGTTTAAAGAAATACAAATGACTTAGACAATCAAGTCACCCTAAATTACCAATAAAATGCAGTCAACCAAGGCAGGCAGCTTTGACGGGGAGGGTCGGTCTGGGAGTGACAGCTCCCACAAGGAACAGCCCAGCTGCAGGCCCCAGAATTTGAATCTCTTCATATGCCGAGGTGGCAAATAGCTCCTGGATTTTCAGTATTGCTTCAGCAGTTAACGCTCTGAAGTGTGTGCTGTGTGTCCCATTTAAGAGGCTCGCTGTTGTGCTGGTACACAGAATCCATTGCTGTTTCAGCCGTGCAGCTCAAAGGGTGGCGTGTTTTGATACTCATATTTGTTTCTGGTATTTTTCAGGGTACACAATACCATTCCAGAAATAAACGCTGAGCAACTCCAAGTTTACCTTTCATTGGAAAGTCTAGACCTCAGTTCTAACCTTATCTCAGAAATTAAAGCTTCTTCTTTTCCGCGGATGCAGCTGAAGTACCTGTGAGTATGAGCAGTCTCTTATGTTGGATTCCTGGCTCTACCACAGTGATCTTGAAGACCTCGATAACTCAAAGTCCTTGTGTTCAAGCGGGCAGCCTTGCATGGCTGTAACTGGTAGCAGTGCTCAGCACAGCTTGAAGTAAAATACTTTTCATAGCAATCATATTGCGTTTTCTCAAATAGTATGGAAAACAGTGACTGCTGCTGTCAAAGTGCAGGTGCTTCAGCCAGCAAGGACAGGGAATGGTTTGTGCCCATTTTGAGTAAATCACTGCTGACATTGACCATGTCTAACTGATGGATGTGTGGTAAAAATCAGCTCCTAGCACTGATTCCTTTGGGAAAAATGAGCGAGATTGGTACACCAGAATTCAGATTTCAGATGTGACTTCACACAGAACTTGAGTTCTGATGATAAGTGCTTGTGCAGTTGTGTTCATACAATTCTCCATGTTCTCAAAGGCCTCTTTTCCTCTTCCTTTCCCAGGAATCTGAGTAACAACAGAATAACCACTCTCGAAGCAGGCTGTCTCGATAACTTATCTAGCTCACTGATGGTGGTAAAGCTGAACAGGAATAGGATTAGCGTGATTCCCCCAAAGATCTTCAAATTGCCACACGTGCAGTTTCTGTAAGTAGAAGTCTTGAAGGTGTAAAACCAGCGCTCGCAGCTGTGTTGTTCATCTCTGTGTTCTTGACTTTCCCAAAGTGGTGCTTATCAAAAGCTGTCTTGATATTTGCGTGTTATCTTTCTGTCAGGGAACTGAAAAGGAACCGGATTAAAATAGTGGAAAGTCTCACGTTCCAAGGACTGGAGTCCTTAAAGTCCTTGAAGATGCAGCGCAATGGGATTAGCAGACTGATGGATGGAGCGTTCTTTGGCCTGGGCAATATAGAAGAGTTGTGAGTATGCCTGCTCGTGGGCTTTCTTTTAGGGCTCTGGCTGGGGGGTTGTGTGCTGTGCGGCTTCCCTTATACTAAGGCTGTGCTGAGATATTGGTGAGCATCACAGAAGATGTGTTTTCAGGTCTGTATATTTTGATATCGCGTCTGGTTACTTCAGAGGTGGGAAGATACTGGCTTTCTCCCCAACTTCTTCCCACTTGGTGATCGAGAATGCTTTGACTCTCTAGGTGGCTCTTTGATTTCCTAGCAGGAGCGTGCTATGCCGTGTTAGCGAAAGATTTTTTTGAAAAGAAAGAAATAAAAGAACAGACATTATAGCTTTGCACCTGCCACTGGGTCACTGCAGCTGTTAGTGAGTTACTCGCTTCTTCGTATACTTCATTCACTCGTTTGCTTTCAGTGGAATGAATATAATCGTACATTTCAGGTTGCCTAGGGCTTAATGTTAGTAAATTGTTTAGAGATCCGCCAAGGTGAAATTTCGTGAATAACTTTCATTGATTACCTATCTGGCAAATGTTTCTCCTTCTATTTCTTTAGAGAACTGGAACATAATAATTTAACAGAAGTAAACAAGGGCTGGCTGTATGGTCTGCGGACATTGCAACAACTCTACGTTAGCCAGAATGCCATTAACAGGATCAGCCCAGATGCATGGGAGTTCTGCCAAAGGCTTTCTGAGCTGTAAGTCCTGGGCTGCTTCTCACTGGGGATTTTGTGATGTTGCAATAACCAATTGGACAGTGTGGTTGTAGCAAGAACGAGTTACCAAAGGAAGTGCTCAATTTACTTCAAGTGTGTGTGGTAATGCTGTGTATTTTACTGACGTGTGCTGTTAGAGAAATTAATCAAAACTCAATAGTTAATCAAGTTTAATAGAATCTTCATAATCGGTCTTGCTCTACTCACCTTTAAAGAGCGTGTTCAATGTTTCTAGAGACCTGTCGTACAACCAGCTCACTCGCCTCAAGGAGTCGGCCTTCGTGGGACTTGGTCTACTGGAGAAACTCAACCTGGGCGACAATCGCATCAGTCACATTGCTGACGGTGTGTTCAGAGGGCTGACAAATCTTCGAACCTTGTAAGTACAGAAAACTTCTGGTTGAAATCTCAGTTTAATGCAATGAAGCTTTTGGAAATAAAGACAGAATATGGCGCCGTGCAAGCCTGAGGTCAGCGTTTGGCGTTGTTGCGTGCTGTCTGCCTGCAGGTGTGGCGGGGCTGCTGATCTGTTGGGCTGCCGAGATAACAGCGTTTGTCCAGCTAAAACAAACCAACCACTTCATTTTAGGGCGATAAGGACAGTGGCTTGGTGACCTTGTGTGCCTGGTTGCTGTCAGACCGGTTCTGAGAAGGTGTGAGCGAGTGGTCAGCCTGGACCTCTCGTTACTGCAGGGGGTTTTGGTAAGGTCAGAGCCTCAGACCAGGGAACCATGTGGTCGCAGAAGGTGGGGTTTGGCCCTGCTCATGTGCTGCGGTCAGGAGCAGGCGCAGGAGTGAGTATGGTCAGAACACAGCTCTGCACTTGCCAGGACCTTCCCTCGCAGCTGCAGTGGTTTGGTGTTTCTGACAAGAAAAGACTCAATCCTGGCTATTAACAAAAAAAAAAGTGTCCCAAGTAGATCTGAACAGTTGTAATCATCCCAAACAATGGGAGTTGAGAAAGGAGTGAAAGTTTATAACCCCTCTGTCAGTTCATTAAATAAATGCTTAAATAAGCAAACTCACCAGAGAGATTTATGTAAGCAGTCACCTTCTGTTAACCTTAATGCAACCTTTTAATGAAATAATTAAAACTAATTTCTTAGATTTGGAGTAGCATGAAAAAGAACAAGAGCAGATTAATTAGTGGGCTTTCCTGGGCTCCTCGGGGCGTCAGCAGCCAAGGGGTGGCCATTTGCTGGGCTGGAATGCGCAGGACCAGGGCGCTGGTGATTAACGGCTCCAGCCTTCGTGCCCAGCCACGCGTGAGGAGCCAGGTCCTCAGCTCGCACAATGAGGGGCTTTTCTTTCAGGTTGCTCACTCGTTCTGCTAAGTGGTCTGAGTAGTGGAGTGTAAAAGTACTTCAAACAAGAGGAGACACCGTGTTGCTGTCAGATTAGTGCCGTTGTGGTGTCTGTACTGCTTGTCTCAGTGCGAAGGCTGATGTAAATATTTCAGCTCCTGCCACTATTCTGCAATGTAGCTTTAATTAACGATGATCAACTGTGAAACTGTATTAACTGCAAGGTAATAAGAGCAAGGTTGGATTAAAGCTGTGTCTAGAAACAGCACTGAAGTTTTGAAGTTCTACATCTTACCGTATTATATCCTTCATAATATTGTGAATAGCCTGGTTGATCCCAGTCTCTGCAGTGTGGTGTTCTACTCAGTTTACAGTCGCAGTCAAGGGAAAGTAGATCCTTCATTTTTCCACCATTAGCACAAGGAAAGAAGTGTTCATATGGGATGATGTATGCAATTGTCTGTATATGTAGCTAGCCTTCTGTGTCACTTGACTTGTGTGGAAGCTGCATCAAGCTGATGCATATAGCACCTGTTAAAATGCAGTATAGACTATTTTTCGTTGGTGTATCTTCCTTTAAACACACTCCTGTCTGCAGGGACTTACGTGCACAGTGGAATTGAAACAGAAAAAAACCGTGGCTGTGACAGAAATGGCTCAGTTCAGGCTAAAAATGCAACTGAAATTATTTTGCCTGCTCTTTAAAAAGCAATTAATCATCTCCAAACCATATTGCTCTATTGCTGTGGCTGTTCAGACTGCTCTTCTACGTGAGGGGCCGGAGCGCTGTGCAGAGGTCAAACAGAAATCCTATTAGCTGGTAACGAGATTTGTGAGCAGAATATCAACTTCATTCTGAAAATCTACTACTTTGTGCCTGGCAGCCTCGCACTGTAACCTGTGTGTAATCTCTTAATATGCTAATGCTATCATAAGCCTGTTACTCAGGAAGATTAATGCTGCTGGTGTATTGGTTAATTCACTTACATGAACCAACTTGCTTCTGGAGCCTCTCCCAGCTCCTGGCGCACCGTCCCTCACATAAGAAGTGCTGGGCTGATGGGTCTCTCCTTAAACACCACGTCAAGAAGCTGTACTGCAGAATTTGTGGTTGTCTGCAGCACTGATGGGGAACAAGTCTGTTTTCCCTTGTGTCTCTGAAATGAAATGTTCATCTTCCGGCAAGCTGAGTTTTACAAAAGATGTGAGAGCTCCCAGGTGATGCTGCCATAGCTCTGTTCCCTGGCTTGCCACTGGCAGCGCTCACGGTGGCGTTACACGACATCTTTATAGGAAAGCTCCTTCTCCACAGGGACCTGCGGAACAACGAGATCTCCTGGGCCATAGAAGATGCAACTGAAGCGTTCGTGGGGCTCGGCAGGCTGGATAAGCTGTGCGTATTACGAACCATTGGGATGATGGTGCTTCCCAGGCACGCAGAGCAGAGAGAGGGCACAAAATAGGAAGTCATTGTCAATGTGACAGACACATTAGACTGTGCACTTCTCATCCAGTGCGTGTGCTTGGTAGGATGCTCCTTCCTGTGGAGCTACAGCCGTTACATATGACACAGCTTGGTGTGGGAGTGGTCTTGGGAGCTCACGTGAGTGTGGCAGATTGGTTACAGGAAGTTACTGCTCCACTTCCAAATTCTGCTTATCACCATCTCATTCTGCTGACTCCAGTTACCTTCTGACACAGCTCTAGCCCAAATCTCTCAGTTAAGATGGAAAAGAAGCCCTGTTCTTGGGAAAATTAGTTGAGCCTTTAAGCTCAAAACCTAGCATTTGATCTTTTAGTTCAGCTGGAATTAGAAAAAAATGTAAACATCATAGCAAACCTCCTTTGGGTCTTACTTGTGAACTCATGTGGACATTCAGACTGATTTTGGGGTTTGGGGGGCTTTGTCTTTCAGAATCCTGCAAGGAAACCAGATTAAGTCAATTACCAAAAAAGCATTCTCTGGTCTTGAAGGACTCGAGCATCTGTAAGTACTTCACTTTGTAGAACCTCTCAGTATTTGTCAACTTCAGTCTTGTATTCTCAGTCAGATTTTCAAGGATTTAACTGAAGGTAGCATATGAAATCATACTTACCCATTCTTGTTCTCTTTGCTTAATTTACAGAGACTTGAGCAACAACGCAGTCATGTCCATCCAAGAAAATGCCTTTGCCCAGGCTCAGCTGAAGGAGCTGTAAGTCCGTGACATTATTTACAGGTTCTTTACGGGTCCTGCCTTGCAAAGAGTCCCTCAGCCATCGTGGGACTGGCTGAAGTGCACTGGCGTGTGTCTGCTTTCATCATGAATTATTTAAAGCAATGCTGATAAATTATCAACTCAAAGTCAGTAGCAGTATACCTAGATTGAAGGTTTGGTAAAATCTGCACCTCCATTTTCTTAGGTACAATTGGTAGCAAACGATTTTTTGTTGCAGTGCTGAACCATTCAGTTTTTCGTATCTGAAGGTGTTGCGGGAAGCTCAGCACACGCTAACAGTGTGCTGTGAACAAGAGAAGTAATTCATCAGGAATCTTTCTTTGCATTAGCAAATCCTACATTTTGTCTCCCTATTTCTGGGGGCCAGAGAAAGGCTTTAAACCACAGCTAGACGAGAAGTCTGACTTGCTCAGCAGATGCTTCAGCTGCCAGAGCCTCTTGTGATCTTCAGACGTCTCAAGTGCTGTAATGTGAAGTGACCTGCACACCCAGGACTAATCCTACTGAAACGCAGTCATCTCTAGATAAAGTCTCTGAATATCGTGTAATCTGTTTTAAGACTGTTATTCAATTAGTTCGTCTTGGCCAGATGGACTGTTAGTCTGCAAGATCTGCCAGTTTGAGGAGACACGTTTTGGATGTTAAAGACAGGACCTTCATTGCCTTCTCTGATGTATCTGAAAAGTGAGGCAGTGTTGGTACGTGTGGGCACACAGCAGGGTGGGACCCTGGCCTGGCTGTGAGCCTCTGCTCTCAGTGCTGGCTTCACCTGCAGATCACTCCTGGCTGAAATGCCAGACTTTCTCCCACCAGTCGTGCTTGTACCAATATTTAGGAAACTTTGAAAGCAGGTGGTGGGGAAAAAGTGGCCCAGTGTTGTTTCCTGTCTGCAGTTTTTCTGTGGAGCAGAGTAAACAGTCTGGAGTAGATACCTGTATGATACAAATCACTTTGATTCTTAAATGTGTATTAGCTGGCATGAAAATGGGTATTGAGTCTTACACTCATTTCGCCATGGCAGGTGTGTTAATCTGAGACTGCTCTGCTGTGCTGTGTTCCTTTTAATTGCTTTAAAGAGGGATAGGATAATTGTAAAGACAGGCTTAGTATTTTTTTTAGAAGTTCAAAATCCAAGTTTATTTTCTTCAGAACTAAAAAGATGTTTTAATGCTGCTGTAGAGGGAAAGTTTTTCTGGATTGCTCATAGGATATATAGCTGACATGTTGTAATAAATACCCATAGCCATAAAAGAATACTGTAACTCTTGAAATGTCTGCATGCATGTGCTTTAGCTTGTTTTGCTGCATGAAGTCACACTTAGGAATGTGAAATGCTGAACTCACACCTCTGTTTGGCTGTTTCGGCAGAGTTTTGAACACGAGCAGCTTGCTGTGCGACTGCCAGCTGAAGTGGCTGCCGCAGTGGCTCGCGGACAGGCGCCTGCTGCAGGGCATCACCGTCAGCTGCGCCCATCCCGAGTGGCTGGCAGGACAGAGCCTCCTCAGCGTGGACCCCGACGGCTTCGTCTGCGGTTTGTATTTTCAATGACTGATACAAAGGCATGGTGACACAGGTCTGTGCAGGTGCTTCTGAAATCCAGTGCAGAGCCACAAAGATGATTGAGGGAATGGAGCATCTCCCTTATGAGGAACAGCTGAGGGAGCTGGGGCTCTTTAGCTTGGAGTAAATTGAGGGGTGACCTCATTAATGTTTATAAATTTGCAAAGGGCGAGTGTCAGGAGGAAGGAGCCAGGCTCTGCTCTGTGATGTCCAATGACAGGACAAGGGGCAGTGGTCCCAAGCTGGAGCACAGGAGGTTCAAGCTGAACATGAGGACAAAGTTTGTCAGTGTGAGGGTGCCAGAGCATGGCCAAGGCTGCCCAGAGAGGTTGTGGAGTCTCCTTCTCTGGAGACACCCAAAGCCCTGACGTGTTCCTGTGACTGCTCTGGTGATCCTGCTCTGGCAGGGGTTGCACTGGATGATCTTTCGAGGTCCCTTCCAGTTCCTAACATTCCGTGATTCTGTAAAATCGGGCTGTAGCGCTGCTGCTGCAGGTACTTGCTCTTGGCCACAGTCCACACATGGACCTGTGTTCATAGCTGGGTCTGCTATGGAGCTTGGGATTTAATTCTGTTTCTCTTTGCTTTGTTTTCTTGTATTTGAGCACTGAAGATAACCTGAGGGATGAATTCTGTGAGACTGCATTGTTTTTCATTTAGGTCACTGATGAAAACTGATTATGCTTCATTCTCCCTGCTTCTGAATGCCTTTAGCTTTGGAAGGGCTGTTTGACATTTCCCTGTGGTTCTTGTCCATGCCAGCAAGGCCAGAGTCACATTTTCTGGTGCTGCATTTCTGTAGTGTTTATCTGGTCTCTGCCACCACAGTTCAGACATAAGCCTGTTTATTTTTGTAACCAAACTGTGAGATGGATAACTGAGAGACTCTTCACCCACAGCCATGTGTGGAAATAGTCTGGAGTTCTGTTTTCTGGGTGAGCCATCTGATAAGTGTTACTCATGTGTACGCAATTCTGGTGGTAAAGGCTGCAAAAGGTGCAAGCATCCGCTTCTCCATCCCTGGTATCACCACGGTGGTGCCTGACACTGAACGCGGTGTGTGCCTACGAGACTGTCTGTGCTGAAATAGTAGGTACTGAAATAACTCTAATTGAGCAGGATGAGATAGAGTGAGCTGCCAGCTTGCTATGCTTCATATTTGTAGAGCTTAAAGGCTCTTCAAGGTATTTAAAATAACTGAACATAAGTGTCAGTCCTTCATACAATAGCCCAGGTCTTCAGCCAGGCACAGCTTTTGTGTGTGATTTAAATATAGCAAGTTGCAGACAGTTGTACAAAACACAGGGCGCTGCTCAAGACCACACTCTGTGCTGGTTGTTCTCAGTGCTTATTCTGGATGCCTACGTGTGGTTCTGATCCTCTTTCACAGCTTGGTTTCCAACTGAAAACAGCTGAATATGTGTACCTCAAGCAGGACATCTGTTCTCAAAGCTGTCTTTCTGCTTACATTGTCTTTTGAGTGAGTTTTCTTGCAATAATAATTGCAAGTTGAAGAGGAAAGTAGCTAATCTTGGTGCCCTTATTTCCAGATAATTTCCCTAAGCCGCAGATAAGAGTGCATCCCGAGACCACGATTGCTCTGCGAGGCACCAATGTGACGCTGACGTGCACGGCCGTGAGCAGCAGCGACTCTCCCATGTCCACGGCCTGGCGCAAGGACAGCGAGGTGCTTTACGATGCCGAGGTGGAGAACTTTGCCAGGTATCAGCAGCAGAGCGGGGAGCTGGTGGAGTACACCACTGTCCTGCACCTCTTCAACGTGAACTTCACTGATGAAGGGAAGTACCAGTGCATCGTCACCAATCACTTTGGCTCCAATTACTCCAACAAAGCCAAGCTGACTGTCAATGGTAAGCAGTCAAGGTAACAAAGGAGAAACACTTTCAACCTGAAGCTTTATTTAATAAGCTACAGGTCTAGTTTTCACTAGAGCTGGCCCAAAGTACTCTTGCAAGACTGTCTCACTAGTATTTGGAAGTCTCAAATATCTTTTTATAAAGCAGGAAGAAGTGTTTGGGTTTTTTTGTGGGTGAAAAGCCTTCTGTTCACTGTTCAGAAGGGGTGGGTATCTCCCATGCTTTCATTATAATGCAGTAGTTAAATGTAGTTAAATGGAGGTAGAAGTCTCTCAGACTCAAAGCTCCCTCTGCTGTCTTCAGCGCTGAGCACCTGCCCATGTGTTTATAAAGCCAGGGAAGATTCAGCTAAAAATAGCTTGTGGGACTGGAAACAGACTCTGAAAAATCAATTATGAAGGCTTTTGCTTTTAGCCATAATGATTCCACTTATTTTGGCTTGAGGGAAGGGATGTGAGAAGAGAGCAGAGGGGTCTGTGTCGCTTTCTGTGTCCAGAGCAGGCTTGCACTGACGAGGGGGAAGCTCAGCTGCCCTATTGCCAGGGAAGAAGTGTGACAAAGGTCTTAGCAAGAGGACTAAACCTTTTCCCCGTCTTTTCCCCATGAGCAATGTTGTCCTTCAGATCATCTTAAATGAACACTGTGTGTATTTAAATTTGGAGGGTGGGCTCTTAGAAATGACTGCTGAAACCTTGCGCAGTTCTTCAGAAGAATCTGCCCCTCTCTCAGGGAGAACTGCAGGCGCGCCTCAGATTTGGGCGTTTTCAGGTATTTGCTGTGCTCTGAAGCTTTTGCTGCTTTTTCCCAGTACTGAAATGCCTGAAACTGTCTCCTTTGATGCAGAGCTGCCTTCCTTCCTGAAAACTCCCATGGACCTGACGATCCGCACCGGGGCGATGGCCCGGCTGGAGTGCGCTGCCGAGGGGCACCCCGCGCCGCAGATCTCCTGGCAGAAGGACGGCGGCACGGACTTCCCTGCGGCGAGAGAGAGGAGGATGCACGTCATGCCCGAGGATGATGTGTTCTTCATTGCGAACGTCAAAATCGAAGACATGGGAATCTACAGCTGCATGGCACAAAACGTGGCGGGCGGTTTGTCAGCAAACGCCACGCTGACTGTGCTGGGTGAGTGAGGCGCTGATGTGTGCGTGCGTGTGGATCTCTGTGCTTCTGCAGTGCAGCGTAGCTCATCTGTGAGCAGTGAGCTTGAGCCCTGAGGAATTACGTTAAAATACAGAGAGCGTGTTTTCCTCTTCCTCTAGCTGTAGATGATATTCTGCAGTAACTTTTTTCGCCATGGTTGCTTCTCCCCCACCTCTTGAAATTTAAGGAGGCTGCCTCTGGAACAGCATCTCTGACAGCTTTTCACGGTTTTGCATTTCCTGAATCCTGTGTTTCGTTGCTCACGTTTACATTCATGCTGTAGGGTCAGATTTTTAAGTATCAGGGGTTACACACTGGTGTTGCACAATGAAGTTATCTTACGGTTTGTTTATTTTTCCTCCGCTGTCACAGAAACCCCCTCCTTCATGAGGCCCCTGGAGGACCGGACGGTAACCCGCGGTGAGACCGCTGTCCTGCAGTGCATCGCGGGGGGCAGCCCTGCCCCTCGCCTCAACTGGACTAAGGACGACGGCCCCTTGACAGTCACAGAGCGGCATTTTTTTGCTGCGGCCAATCAGCTCCTCATCATTGTGGATGCTGGACTCGAGGATGCAGGGAAATACACGTGCATCATGTCCAACACGCTGGGCACCGAGCGTGGCCATATCTACCTCAACGTCCTGGCTTCCCCCAACTGCGACTCCTCACAGGGCGGCGTTGGCCACGAGGAGGACGGCTGGACAACGGTGGGCATCGTGATCATCGTGGTGGTGTGCTGCGTGGTGGGGACCTCGCTGGTGTGGGTTATCGTCATCTACCACATGAGGAGGAGGAGTGAAGATTACAGCATCACTAACACAGGTAAAGTGCAAAAGCAAGTCTTCAGCCCCGTTTTTACTCCAAAACATCTGTTAAGAGTGGTGAAATTTCAGGATTCATTACAGATGATAATATTGAAGAACTGAAGATTTTCTTCTAAAATCTCTTCAGGGATTTGCTCAAATTCCTTCATATCAGAGGTTTTTTAAATGTCAAAACTGTGTTAATTTAATTCCTTACATGCCAGTTTTGTTCTGCATTGAGGGAAAGCAGTAAAGTTTGGAAATAAATATTCGAGTAAACTTAGGAATGTTTTCAGGGCCTGGAATAAGGAGCGTAAATTTCTGTTCTGGCCCTGTTAGTTTTGAACGAGCTATGCAGATTTTTGATCACCAAGGTAGAAAAAAGAAAACTCCATGGGAATTAAAGTTTTGGGTGACATTTTTGTTTGTGGGCAGCGGTGCTGCTGCTACCTGGAAATCTACGTAATGGTTAATGTCGTTGATGTTAATTGTGCCCTGCAGAGGAGATGAACCTGCCCGCAGACATTCCCAGTTACCTGTCGTCGCAGGGAACGCTCTCGGAGCCTCAGGCGGGCTA